GTAATAACCGACTCATCGGAAACAATAATAATTATAACAAGAAGAATCTCAAAACAGTTCGAGACAAAACACGTTCAACAAAAACTGTCACCGGAAGATGCGTCAGTCTCTCGAATCGACGAGATTCTTCTAGAAGGGCAAGCAATTATAAAAGTGGCACGCGGAAGGAGCGACTCGCTTTTCGCACAAAGTCGTTAGCGCAAACACGTTGTTTAAATCGAGAAAACCCGCACTAATTTCGGCGAAGTTTCCGCGTTGAATTTGCTCCTTTCGCTCCGTTACTCGCGGACAGCGAAATTTCGATTCGCGCATCTCGCTCAAAAGCGTTATCCGTTGCTCGCGGAACGTGTTACCGCGCGGTTGTTGTAAATAACTGTAAATAGTGTATCTCTTGTTCTCGTTTATTAAACTTTGTGCCGTTAAATTGCCTGTCGAAGTTTCTAGTCGTTTGTCCCGTCGTTGTCCAAGATTGAGTCCAAGCGCTCCTCACTTGCGCGTCCACTTAAACGCAAACAATTGGCAAAACCGGATATTGGTATTATTTTTACATTAAACCTAAACACCTTTGTTCTATATATTTTTATGCTATATACTTTTATTTTTTTTACTTGAGATATAATATATTACTTTTGTTTCAAAGTAAATAGTATACACATGACTAGTTTATAATAAGATTACACACACACACATGTCATAAAAATTATAAATGATATTATTTTATTTTACAAATTTTGTTATAAATTATATTATAAATATTGAGAATACACATACATTCTCTTATATTCTTCAGAATACTTTATACTCTATATTAAGAATAATCTTCCGCTTCTCATAAGACGGTAAGTATTTTATTATTTGTCTTTTTAACAATTCACCATGCATGTATCAACTTTTTTGAATTAATATTGATTTATTTTCAGTTATTTCATACGTGAAATATATATTTTTCTTTATACAAAAATATAAATAAATTTGATAAATTTTCAACATTTGTTAAAATTTAAGCGTAATTTATATTTTAGTAGACAAAAATATTGTTCTTTTTA